TTTATTGATTTCAGAGAGAGGAATGGAGAGGGAGAGAGAGAGATAGAAACATCAATGATGAGAGAGTCATTGATGGAACCCGCAGCCCGGGCATGTGCCCTGACCGGGATTCGAACCCCGATCGCCTGGATCCTAGGTCAATGCTCAACCGCTGAGCCACGCCCGGCCGGGCTACTTTGAATATTAACTATACTTTGCTGTTAGTTTTCCATGGAGGTTTTATTCAACAAATAGTTCACTACAAAAGCTGTCGCCTATGAGCTTTGGCCAAGTTTCCCCATTTCCAATTTTGTAGCAAAAATTTCTCACTTCTTCAGTTACTCTTATGGGAGGAATGGGAATGTCAGAAGGCACCTCAGTCTAAGCTACCTTATCAGAGAAAAACTAAGTGTAGATCTTTGTTTCCCTTTAGAACTTTACTCATGTTTCATTGGTAGAGTCACTTCCATACATTGATCTAGAGTTTGAGATTTTTTATTTTATTTTTCATTGGACCGATTTTCTGGTGTTAGTCATTAAAAACGATTCCAACTATTTGAAGATACCTGGCATGTTTGTTATCGTTTTGTTAAATAAAAAGCTATCTTAATTAACAATGTCTACATCACTTTTCTATTTACCTAGAAAAGTAATAATTACAAGTAGATAATGTGAGTTTTTCTAATTGACTTGAGCATCTTTATTCAACACCTTATTGAAAGCTGTACTCTGAAGTCTTTTGGTTGAGAAATTGGCAAAATAGTTAACTGAACTAAAAACAATGAGGCAGCTCACTGGTTGTCTAGGTTGTTAAAGATGAAAACATGAAGGCTAACTAAAGTTTTTGTTATGATCATTATGAGCACTTTGTTTTCACAAATAGCATCTTATACCTCCACCTCCATTTTTTACAGAAAGTAACCTTTAAAGCATGGAAAATAAAGAGCAGTCCATGGTGGGATAGCTTGATCAAGGGCATTCCTTTAGCAGTTGCTTTGAATTTTCTTAAAATGGGGGGGTTGAACCAAATACATTCTTTTGATCTCTTCTTTTAAAAGTATAATAGTTTTATGTGATACTTATTTTTATAAACAAATATATAGAGCACTTACCTTAAAAATAACTTTTGCGGTGACAAAGATAAAGTATGTAAATGACATCATACCAGATCTTTAAATTACGATATAAAGAAAATTTATAAAATATGCAGAAATTGCCTTTTAAAAAAACTGTTCAACAATGTTCCATTTCTTGTTAACAACGACTTTCGTCTTGTCTAAAGAGCCTTCATTTGGCTACAGCACCAGAAAAACAAGTTGGTATACCATACCCTAAGAACTTGTTCAGTCCCATAGATACTCTTTTTCGTGCAGGCAGCATTTATGAATTTGCAGTACGTGATCTTAGCCACAGATCTTTGAGACTGATCATAATTCATAGTCAAAGTCACTTCCTTATACATGAGCAAAATTACCAAAGATTTGACCTTATTTCACAAAAGAAATGTCAAATAATTCTATCTAAATTCGGGAGGGGGGTGGATTAACCTGCTTAGGAGCCATCAAATGGTGTTGATATAATACTGTACATGTTTAAGGATAATGTAGTAGAATATGTAATTAAAATTAAGCTATTATCCTAAAGGGATTTATTTCAATTGTTTTTAAATATAGGATTATTTAATAATGAGTCAGAGTTTATTTTCAGTTTTATAGTAAATATATTGAGTTCTGAAATTTGGCGATAACACATAGCACACTTAGCTTATATTAACACCGACTGGCCAAATGGCTGTCAGGCTAATAGCCTGTAGATATATTATAGTCACATTATGCTCATTCTGTTCTTAGAATGAGATGATCTAATTTTCAATTTCCCCTTGTTCTAGAAGGTAATGTTTTATTTTTTTTAACCTACTCTCAAGATCTTCTCTAACTGCATTTAGGAGCATTTCCGAAACTGTTTGTTAGTTGTATAGTTCTCAAGAAAATACTGGGTTTTGCTTTGCAGAACTGAGAATATTGATATGTTTGGGGATTCCTGGCTCAAGGTGTATTCCTTATCCCTTAAAGATACTTGAAAAAATTCCCCCATTACTGTAATCCCTTTGAAAATGGAAGCCCAGAGCTGTTTATACATTTAAAATATGAAGAACATTTAAAAATAAAATGAAATATAGGGCTTATATCCCACCAGGACTTAGGAAAAATCCTTGTTTTCTAAAGCGCACATGGGTTTTTCTGGTTTGTTTTTGTTTTGTTCAGCCTCCAGGACCTCCCAATTTTCAGGGGCACTGTGGGGCATATGTAGCGTTTATTTGGTGTATGTATGTGTATTTATATTTTCCACATCTGTCTCCGTGGACCTGTCCTTTGTGAAATCCTAAACCTTATATTAATGCCTAGTCTGTGATTCATGGTGCTCTGAGAGCAATTATATAATTTTTCCTAGGGTGTTTATTTGATGTTGCCGTAAGGGGGGCGTTGGTTTCTGCTGCCCCGCCGTTGCCTTTTCCTTGGGGAGCCCCTCCCCTCCGCGTGGCCTGCGAGCGCCGCTCGGGCTCCCTGCCAGCCCTGCGAGCTGCCGCCTGCTCCAAAATGGAGGCTCCCGGGAAGGTGTCCGTTTCTCCAGGACGACAGGCCTTCGGTCTCTCCCGCCATCTGGAGAGAGGAGCTTTGGAACAAAAGAAAATGGGGATTCAAAAAAATTATAGTTAGCAAAAAAGGCAAGGGGAAAACCAATTAAAGTTAAACTATACCTTATGAATTTATGCCTTTCCAGGATGCTGTCATCTTTAAGGGAAACATAAACGAGAAAAATACACAGGTTATTTTTATAAAGACCCAGTTCCCCAAGTCTCATGAGTATTAGTAAACAAATGTAAGAAAATTAGGATTTGGGCACACTTTTTAAAGTTTATTGCACACACAAATGTAATAGGAGCTCTACAGGAGGGCTCCCCCCTTCGTGTGCACACTGATTGTTGGTGGTCTGTGTAGAGCTGGGCCGCTAGTGGCCTTTTTCATGCATCTCTGCTGTCGTGGTCCCCTGACACCATGGGAATTTAATATTCCAAGATTTGTCACTTTTGTCATTTTGAATAGTGCATTTGTTTTCTCTGTCTTTCTCTCAAAAGTGAACATTTTAATTGGAAGGTAGAGTTAAAGGGGAGAGGCTTCGTAAGTTTTACAAATGTCTAACCACTGTGCTGTACACCTGAAACTAATAAAATTGAATATCAACTGCAATTGAAAAATTAAGAAAACATTTTAAAAGGGAGAGGCTTGATGCACATCTTTCTGTTTTTACCCTTCATGTGCTCTCCTTGGCCATCTATGCTTTTTTGAAAAAAAAAAAAAA